CACACAGGTAAAGACGTCCACCATTTTATGTCGAGTTGCGAACGTCAGTTATCGTTTGACGGTTTGAGAAATAGTTTTGGCGTTTGATTATATAAGGAAAATCGTCAAGGTCTTTTGAAAGGCAAGTGGGGCGTGGCTAGTGGGTAACTGTTTTTACCACTTCTTTCATAAAGGCAAGTTGAAAATTGATTGCAGGAATAAAATTAACTTGCCATTTTGCCCTCATATTTTAACAAAATTTGAAGCAAATGATCCCAGAAGTCCAACAGGATTTCCAGAGGTTTCTAGCCCGTTATACTATTTTATTAAACATTCAACTTGTAGATATATTTTTTGTGGGTAAATAAAAATTAAACTAATAAAAAACCCGTTCTAATCATTGACATTGGCATAAAAAAATCATAGTCTGTCCTCGTGTTTTAAAAGATGCTCAATGAAGTGTTGTATTTACAAATTTCCCCCAGGTACAAACGCGAAGTGCAGACGAACCGATGACGACATTCGTTTACTGCCAAGAATGTGGAAACAGATGGAAGGTTTGCTTAAAATCATTGTCTAATGCGTTTTAAATGTGGTTTACAATCAATCTTAGTGCTTTGCGAGACGTTCACCTATTCATGGTTATGTTTCTATTTATTTTTAGTTCTGCTGATGACGTCATCATTGTCCCCGGATCAAGACTCAACGACACAAAAGAAATTTTTAGAGTTTAGCGAACAGACTTTATTATGAAACAGACTATATAAGAATTTCTTGAAACTTTTGGAAAGTTTTAGTGATGTACAAAGTTTCTATATACTTAAAGGTTTAGTTATGTTCGGTATAGTATATAAGCGATAAACAGTGTATAAAGGCCTGATTCCACGGGCGCTTTTTCTCGGCGAAATGCGAAATATTTCGCCTGTTTCTTTTGAATTGTGGGCAATCAAGTAGAAATAATTTATTCGAGTGGTCGCAATTCAAAAGAAACAGGCGAAATATTTCGCATTTCGCCGAGAAAAAGCGCCCGTGGAATCAGGCCTTTAGAGATGTGATTTTCTCTGCGTATATTTTTTCAAACATTCAAGATGATCTAAAATCAGCGCGCATTGTGTGGGCGTAGCTGAAGGTGTGTTTGCATTTCAAACTTAAAGAACTACAAAATTTTGTGAAGATTACAATAGTTCACAAAATTATACTCCGTATATTAAAATCAAATGAAAAGAAGCAAAAAGTCACTTTTTGCAAATCAATGCGCAGTTTTAACTCGAATGTTGACTAATTGAAAACCACGAAAAAAGAACAGCAGACGTTTTTGAAACAGCATTTGTCTCGCAATTTAAAACAGTGTTAAAACCAGCTCTCCCTGGCTGTGAAGGTATACAGAGCACGACCCCTCGGAAAATGTAAAACTATCTTGCGTTTAAAATAAAATCAGTTACCATATCTTCTCTGCCGCCAGTGGAAAGTTGACGCAATATCCACGAGTGGAAATTGATCATAGCCTTGAAAGAGTGATTGTTGAAATGTCAGTATACTACAGTGTCGTCGCTATGATTCCTGTAGCTGACGTAGTAACGCTATTCTTCTATTCTGTAGCTCACTTTCACTCTCGCTAGATGAAGTATTCCACTCGGTCTAGAAAAAAGAACAATCTTTGAGCCTCTAATAGTCAAACAATTATTTGTCGTCTCTTAAATGATGCCGGTATGGTGAAGGCGTGGTAAATAAATTAATGAAATAAAAAATATTCTCTAGTTTGTTGTTCTTAGACTTGAATGAATAATATATGTTGTGGAATGTTTATTAAAAAGCGTAATCAATACGAGATGATCCTTACTGGACCACTAGGAAGAACAGTTTAGAAATGGCAGAGCTATCCTGTATAAATAAAGTGAGCTTAGATTTTGATGTCGATCGACCAAGAACTTGGAAATCTTTGTTTACAAAGTGTCGCTCCTTTGACATTACTTGTTCGTAAAGACGTAAACGTGTAAACTGTAAAAATTAGTATAAAAACTCTAAAAAGTTATAAAAAAACATATATTTTGTTAAGAGCAAAAGACAGTACTAGTGAGATAAAGTGTCAAGATGTTATTAGAACGTATATTTTGGCAACGTATATTTACAAGCATGCGCAGTACAAGAGAAACGAACACGTTTGTTTTTGAGAATCGAATCCAAGTTGACGTTTTATAAAATTTTTCCTATTTTTATTTGTATTATTTGGTGAATACATTTTCTACTTGTGTTTTGGTGGCACTGAATTGGATCTTATTTAAGATCTGTTGTCCTTTTCCTTCAATCATTTATTAATATATGTTATTGATTGTGAAGTTAATAAAAAAAATAAACTACCTTTTTCTTTTTTGGCACTTCCTCCTCAGATTGTGATTCGTCAGATTCTTTTCTAGACTTTTCTTTCCGTTTCTTTTCCGTTTTCTTTTCTTTTTTCTTCTTCTCACTTCGTTTTTCTTTCTTTCCCTCTTTCGTTTTCTTCGTTTCCTTATCGCGTGCTCTATCGTCTTCTTCGTGCTCACGTTCTTCGTGTTCGCGATCACGTTGCTCCTTCTCACGTGCACGTTCTTCCCGTTCTCGCTCTTTTTCGCGAGCTTTCTCCTCATCGCGCTCGCGTTGTTCTTTCTCGCGTGCACGTTCTTTTTCGCGTTCTTCACGTTCTTTGCGTTCTTCACGCTCTTTGCGTTCTTCACGTTCCTTGCGTTCTTCACGTTCTTTGCGCTCCTCGCGTTCTTTCTCCTTTCGTTCTTTCTCTTCCTGTTCACGCTCTTTTTCGCGAGCACGTTCTTCTTTTTCGCGTTCACGTTCTTCTTTTTCGCGTTCACGGTCTTTGTCTTTGCGTGTTTCATCAGATTCGGAACCGGATGATGGCTAAAAGGCAGAACAGAACTGCTGTAATAACATCCCCCACGCTTAAAAGCATGTATATAACAAACATCTATAAACCTACCGAATGGCGACGTCTTTTCTTCGTTTTCTATAAAGAGATAAAAGAGGGAATTAAATAAACCACAAACATGACATTAAGTCAATGATTCAGACTTATATGCGGTTACGGTTCGACAACTGTCTTTCTGTAGCTCAGTTGGTTAGAGCGCTGCACGGGAATCGCAGGTTCAATCTACAAAATCTTTTTGTCCATCTACAAAAACCCTTCTACAAATGAACTATAGCACACTATACCTTTTTATCTTTTTTATGTTTTTTCTTCCCTGATACGTCTTTGTCTACAAAGAGAATGACAACATGTTTTATATTCACACGCATTTTAATAAAAGGTTGTGTAAAACTTAACTACGAAACATTTACATGATATTACTTACAGAACAAAGTACTACATTGTACAATACTGCATTGGTACTTTAAATGAAAACCAGGACCCCAGGGCTTGAAATAACGTTCCCGATCATAGTGATCTGGAGCCATGACTTTCCCTGCTTTTTCAGGTTGGAAACCCTGCTTTTCCGCCGATCATAATTAAGCAATTTCTTGCCGATCATTGACCGGTGATCGGCTGTAATTACAAGCCCTTCCAGGTTTAAACGTATATAACTCACCAGACTCAGATTGTGAAGACACAGATGGTGTTCTTGATTTATTCCTGTGACGCTTTCTTTTGTGAGATTTTTCTTTATCAGACTCTTCTTCTGACTTGGATGAAACCTACACAAGTTAAAACACGTCTAAATAATGTGCAGCTATCTAAGCCTGCAGTAACTTACGCTTGGCCAGCACCGTCTGAGTACAGGCCACAGCTTCAGCGAAACAGGAAACCCCTGATCCAGGGTAGGAGTAACTGGCTAACAACTCCAAAAATCATGTGGAGTCTGTTATCTAAGTCTGGAGTTAATTGCTGCGCTGTAATTGGCCTCAGAGTGACAAAACGTAACAAAGCAACGGTTTTACTAACACTAACCCTACTCCAAACACCAATTCTAACCTTAACCCTAATCCTAACCTATAGAACCCTACTCCAACTTTGTTTTCAAACCAATCTTGAAGAAAAACGTTTTAACGAAATGTCATTTTGAGGTCAGCGAAATAACTTCTTCCAGACTAAGATGGCTCCACAAAAATATAATATGCTGTAACAGCAAGCCAAGTAATGACGTCCATACTGAAACAGACAAAATCGTACCGACGGTGATCTTGAACGTTTTCTGTGCTTTTTAGTTTTCTTCGTTTTCTTGTGAGTTGATCTGGACGTGTGGTGATGACCACATTCCTGAAATACACAAATAAACAAAAGAAGTTGAGAAGCTGTGTACGTCTGTTTTGTACACTTACCAAACGCACGTCATCTAACCTGTTGTAATGCAGAAATATATTCCTTGAACAATCGTATTCTTTCAGACTCCACTGTCATCGCTAAGAATGCTGGTTCACTGACAAATCTTTCGCGTACCTAATAAAAAAATAAACAATCGTCACTGCGGAAAAGTGATTGAAGATTTGATGTGAAGTGTCATTTAAAACTATGGCCCAATTAAGAGTGTATGGTTAAATATTTTCCCGAAGTCATTTAAGATAAATACTCAATTGTATAATTGTTTTTGTTTGGTGGAAACATGATAATTATGTGAACTTGTCTTCACTATTTCCATAAAACTAAAATCTGCACGTATGCAATATTTTAAGAAATATTTGAAGATACATTCAACAAACATACATCATCCCAGGAACTATTTTCATCCAGTGAAGGAGTGGAAATTTTTAAAATCTGTTTGAACGACGTCTCGCGACGACGTTGCTATGGAAGAAAAATACAAAATGTAACAATTCAAAGTTAATACAATCGGATATGAAGAAATAAAATACAAACGTCACTGGGTCTGTTAAAAATATTTGCTTACGTCTCTTTCCTCTCGTTTTACTCTTTCTTTTTCACGAGCTTCTGCTTTCTCCAGGAACTGAAATAAAACAAGGAAAGCCAAGAGTCAACTACACACGTAAAAACGCACAAGTTGTCACAAACCTAAACAAAAAACCAAACAGCTAAAATTGCTTAAGTGGTTCCGAATATTTGAAAAACATTGAAAAATATTACAGTTAAATGTAATTGAAAACTGAAAATTCGCGTCGCGTTGCCAAATCGCGTCAGGTCTGTATGGGCCTTAAGAGACCCATAATAAAGTACTAACGTTATTAAATGTCATTTTGATATTTCCAGGGTCCAGTGTGGCCGAGCGATCGTCAGCTTGAATCAAGGCGTAGAAATCTTCATATTTACTCTTCAATTCCACTGTATAATCCTCGTCCTAAAAATGGTTGATCAAAACAAACATAAATGCCGTGCTGGTTAAAGTGGCAGGACTTCTTCTACAAATATCAGTGGGAGACATTGGGTGGGGGCAGGGCCGCAGGGGCAACCCCCCCCCCCCCCAATAATTTCCGACAAATATTAAGGCAAACTTGACAAACCTTCATTATTTCTTTAATAATCCTCTTCTCGTCATTAAACTTCGACTTTAAGTCCTCAACATAAAACTTGAATAAATCCAATGCAGTCGATCCTACAATTATAAAGAAGAATAAAAACTCGATAGCAGGAACCAATATGTGGATATAAGAAGCAATTGGCGTAATATATTCTTGCTATACAGTACTTTTCAGTTTTCACACAGATGAATTACTGGTTTCTAAAGCAGTAGGAAGTGCAATGTCCCTTTTCACATTGTACACTTTGTGAATGTTGTAGGCATGTGGGTTAGTGTCCCTGTTCCCCCAACTTAGGTAGGCTGGAGGGGATATTTGGGAAGAGTGAAAATCTTGCGAAATCTCTTCTTAAGAAATCTCTTCTGGATTGGTAGTTTTCTTTTCTGAAGTTTTGAAATAAACAGACGTGCAGAAATACATCAACTAAAACAGCAGGTTCAATTTTAACCGAGAGCTTGCGCTAATCCAGCTGTGAACAACCGGCCCCTGATTAATTGGAGTAAACATACCAGGCTGTCCAAGCATCTTACTAAATCTCAGATCAGAACTAATCGTCGGATACATTTCAGACCACAACGACATTGAATGGAGGTGGTTGCTGCCATGGAGCTCGTCCAGTAATGCCTAAAAGTACACCAAAATTACACAGTGATCAGCAGGGTTTGTACATGTGAGGTTCGTACAAAGGCCATGTATCAGCAAATTCAAAGACTAAATGCTGAAGAGGAGACGTTAAAAATCAGTAAAATGTGACGTTTAATTGTTCAAAAAGGGCACAACTTTACTGAATTTCAAACAGCTTTGTCAGATATGAACATGCAAAATCAGCAAGAAGAATTTAAAGACCATGTAAAGTCCGTTCTGCGCATACGTTCTGCGCAGGCTTACATTCCAATGGTCGGGACCCGACCGTTGTAATGTTGTTAATATTTCGTATCTTTTGAACTTTCTTGAATTGAATCTCTAGTCTGCATTCATTTTCAAGCATAGCCAATCAGAAGAGTGTTAAAAATTCAGTAAAATATATATCTAATCATATTTTACAACTGTAGTACTGAGTTCAAAATGTAAACAAAGCGTTTGTTACATTACGGACTTTACATGGTCTTTAAGGATTTTCAAGAACTTCTTTATAAATTCAAGGATATTTCAAGGATATTCAAGGCCTTGAATTTTTGTTGTCAGATTCAAGGACATTCAAGTTTTATACGTCAGTACGAACCCTGGATCTGGTAAGAAGGGTAATATCCTTGATTGTCCTCCAGTAACCCATTTCTTCTTGTTTATATGGAACCGAACGAGACAAAAATTTGAGCGACACAAGCAACAACCCTCAATCAACTTACAAGAAATCCTTCTCTATTTTTTCGCTGTTGTCTTCTTTTCTTATTCTTTTCTTTCTGTTTTTCCTCCACTTGTTCCTGTTCCAAAGCTCTGATGTGATCCTCATACGCCATCAACATGTCCTCCTTATCCATGTCTGCCAATAATCATAAAAAACTACAGTTGAAAGGTTATGGGGAAATATCAGGGTATCTGTAGAAGAGTTTCGTAGATGCAAATTTCGAATGTGAATTTTATATTCTTATTAGAGTAGACCCAACCAGTGTATAATTTGTGGTTAGAGCTCGACAAGTGGTCTCTGTAGCTCAGTTTGATGGTTAGACTCCAACATTAAAATGTGCCTCTTGATCTGCCAGATGTAAGGTATGCCTCTTCGGACACAAATTCAGACCGAGGGTGGAAAATGGACTCCACATTAATATTTTCTACTCCACATTTACTGTAACTACTAATAGCAGTACCTTTTATTCTGTCGTCGTCATTATAGACAGGCATGTCTCGTAGTTGCTCTTGAGCCTAAAAAGACAATCTCAGTTCACACTCTGGCCTGAATATCGCGGCCCATCTCTGGATTTTCCAGTTTCCTCCCACACCAGTACGTGTGTTTGCAGTGGGACTGGGAGTGGGTCCCTAGAGTAATATTTAGGTCACTCAGGTAAGGGTAGGGCCAGTCTGAGCTACTAACTAGTTTTGCATTTGAAAGCGAAGCTATATAAGTTCTGGCATTTGAAAACGTTGTTCTGGCATTCCAAACTGGAGTTCTGGCATTTGAAAAGGGAATTCTGGCATTTGAAAAGGGAATTCTGGCATTTGAAACTGGAGTTCTGGCATTTGAAAACGGAGTTCTGGCATTTGAAAATTGAGTTCTGGCATATGAAAACGGGGTTCTGGCATTTTGAAAACGGAATTTGGGCATTTGAAAAGGGAGTTTTGGCACTAGAAAACGGAATTCGGGCATTTGAAAAAGCAGTTCTGGCATTTGAAAAGGCAGTTCTGGCATTTGAAGTGAGTTCTGGCATTTGAAAACGGTGTTCTGACATTTGAAGCTCCGGAGTTCTGGCATTTGAAGCTCCGGAGTTCTGGCATTTGAAAACGGAATTCTGGCATTTGAAGGGGGTTCTGGCATTTGAAAACGGAGTTCTGACATGTCGTGGTGAAAGTTTTAGAAAAAATATTTAGAAATACCAAATGCTTACTTCGACCCAAGTCGTTCTGTAGGTGACATCGGGCATGCCGTTGAAAACTGAGATCATGAAGTCTCTATTCTCCACTCGTAATTCTTTCTCTCTCTCCTTTTCCTTCTTAGCAAGCAGAAAGATGACATCTTCAAACACGTCTTTGCGTTCCCTCTCCTTCACCGCGTTCCAAGCTGGCTCGCCATCAAACATTTCTGTCGCGCGATGCCAGCGTACTGACGATGACATCTTGGCATGGTATTCTAGGAATTTGTGGAGGTCGTCGCGGGCTTGTCGTGCTTTCTGACGAAGCTCTTCCTGGAATAATTGGATTTCAGATTAATTTTAGAAATAATGTTTCGTGATATTTTCTGTGTTGGTGCAATGTACTCAGGTGAATAAGATGCTTGTAATGTTACACTGAGTGTATAGACCCTTTGCACTGACGACACAAATCCTTAGAGTGTCCTCCAGATGCTCCCTAACAATATATGTTCGGGTACAACAACCACATACAGCCCAAAAATGAAACATTTTAATACAAAATTATTATAAGCTTTTGCAAAATTTGCTTTGTTTACAAAAGTTATATTATGCATAGATTGCTAATTTGTCCTCCAGATGCATCGTCGCCGGCGCTGTGACGTCATGTGCAATGGGTCTATATCCACACCGGGCAGGCTTGAAAAATATGCCTGGCCACGGTGGGAATCGAACCTACGACCTTTGGAAAACCAGCCTTTGGAATACTATACTTCAGCGAAAATTAAGTTGTGGCAGCAAGATTGACCAAAAGTTGAGACAAGTTTTATTTGCTCGTGTGTGCGGCAAAAAATTGACCATTTTTCCCTGCCAAGGAGTCGTGTTCTAAAAGCTAGTCATGTCAGCTTTTGGTCAAGGAAAATTTGTTCTTGTGTACGACCGCCAAGGAAAGAAAACGAGAAAGTAAACTTGTCAAGGTAAACTTGTTGACCACACGCGAAAAAGTAAACTTGTCAAGGAAAACGTATGTTGACCGTACATACGAAAAATTGAGGTTGTCAAGGAAACTTGCTCGTTTATACGTGGCTTTATGTTTGAGCCGCAGTTCACTTACAGTTGAATTGTGGACTTTGTGGTCAACTTGCATTTCGGTATTTTAAAACATTTTGAGCGTCCAAGTTATCCTTCTGTTTCTATGAAATAAAGGTGATCAAACTCATACCTTTTCTTCGTTAGCTCGTTGTGTTTTATATTCATTAAATGCTTGTTTCTTTTCGTTCATTTTCTTCAGAGCTCCATATCTCGGATCAGCGACGATCATTCGCATTGCATTGTCCCAGTTCATCGCAGACGAAACACCCTGACAAAGAAAGATGACCAAAAATGATCGATTGGTAACCAGGGACTGTTTATATGGGATTTCCTTTCCGATTAGTGGGCCACCTTGCTCCATACAATGCCCAAAACAAAAACTTATAGGTATATAAAATTAGTAATTACCTTTTCTTTTAAAAGTTCTTTAAAAGCTTGTTTCGCTTCTTCTTTCGTTTCATAAACGTAATCTTTCTTTGGCGTCAAAGCAGCCGGTGATGACGAAGCATCAGTTGTCGTGACAGCGCTGAGGACAGAGAGATATTTTATGAAACCATAGTTTAGTTTTGGTTTCTTGCCCCTGCTTGGTTGTACAAGATTTGCTTGTATGTCAAAATAATGATTGGTCTTTGAAAATACACCAGCACAAGTAACGTGCAATAAGAAAAGATTTTAAAGGCACAATTCAGCCTTTTGAATGATGGTTTTTAAGGCGCATTTCAGCACTTTTGATTGAAAAAACTAACTATAGGAAAATCAATTATGCATAATTCAAGATCAGTAAACTCAATGTTTTTTAACAATAAAAATGTTTAAAATGTTAAAAACATTGAGTTTACTGATCCTGAATTATGCATAATTGATTTTCCTAGTTTTTTCAATTAAAAGGGCTGAAATGCGCCTTAAAAATCATCATTCAAAAGGCTGAACTGTGCTTTTGATAACCTTGTTGATGATGGGTAAGATACTGTATCTATCTGAGTTTACATTCATCCTTGGTAAAAGTGCTTTATTTTATTTTAAACTTATTCGAATTCATTCAAAATTAAGAAAATCTCCAATACTGGCCAAGTTCTGGCATTTGAAAACGGAATTTGAAGGGATAAGATATATAGCTGAGTTTCCATCCATCCTTGGTAAAAGTACCTATTTTATTTGAAACTTATTTCATTCAAAATTAAGAAAATCTCCCATATTGGTCATACCTTGCAGTAGGGGCAGCCTGAGGTCCATCAGTCTGTGTAACACTCGCAGCTTCAGCCTGTTCCTTCTCTTCTTTTGCTTTCTGTTCTTCTATTTCTCTTTCTTCATCTCTCTTTCGTTCCTCTCTAAAACAGACAACCAATGTTCATGTGAGCTGCAGTAGGCATACATGTATATCTGACTTGAAAGTCGCGTCTGTACCAATGTAGGTCGTGGCAATAAGAATGCTTCGGATTGGCAGGGATACAGCTACTTGAAAAATACAAGAAGAACTTTGACTCCAGCGAAGGTCCTTTTACTAATTTCCAGACGAAGGCCCTTTGCTCGAAACGTCGAAGTTCTCCTTGTATTTTTCAGGTAGTTGTATCCCTATCAGGCCCAAGTTTTCTGAGCTGCAGTTTCTGAGTTGACTGCGTTTTACGAACAAGTGCATTTTCAAGTTCTAAATATTAAACAACATACTCGTCCAGCTCTTCTTCAACTTTGATACGCTCTGGAAAATAAAACATAATTTTCAGTTGATGCTGCTTTGCTTTTCCTGAACACATTTAGCAAGTGACCTGACTGCAGCGGGATTTGTACAGACGATATATTGTACCTTTTAATTCTTACAGCGGGATTTGTATACAAGATATATAATTGTACCTTTTAATTCTTCATATTCTTTCGGTATCGTCCATGTAGATTCTTTAGTTTCACTATTGTGATAATATATACGACCTCCTTCAGCATTGTGTTCCTTCCACGGACACGAGTCAAGAAGACGCTAAAAAAATAAAAATTTGATTTCATAAAGATCAAAATATCACTGTATTACTATTTGTAAGGTTTTATTCGCTGAGTATATACTCTGGTTTCCCTTCCTCAAAAGCTAACCCTAAAGGCCCATTTTCACTCTTGAAGAAAAATTTCCATAGACTGAAAATTTCCCGAAAATATCATTGTCCAAAGTTGAAAACTTTCCATTTTGGCCAACCACATTTTCCACATTTTCCACATTTTTCTTTCTGTGAAAAAATTTCCTGACTGGAAATGGGCCTTTCGACCTCAGTTGTGAGTATGTGTAACTCATAGATATCTTATATAATATACACTAGATAGTGCATCTAATTATTCTGCAATTCAAAAATTGAAGCCGTGATTGCAGATATTCCCATGAAATGAGAAGATTCGTATGTTTTCTATTTCTTAAACAGAGAACTTAAACATTAAGTTAAACCTATTTCAAATACATTTTCAAACTATTCAAATGATGAAAGTTATTGTTGTCTTTTAAGCGTTTATTAACTTCAACATGGCCGCCATCTATTCAAATGGGGGTAACCGCTGGAATATTCTTGGCTTCAATTTTACTAAAAGAGATGTGCTATCTAGTCTATATAAGATATCTATGGTGTAACTGTATCGTGAGCCTGTGGCTGGGTGATATGGCACAGCCTTTGCAGACATCAAAACATCACCTCTGCATTTGTCTTTAAGTCATTAGGTTTCTGCCATGATGATTGTTTTGTCTCTGAGTTGTAGTAGTATGTTCTTCCATCTGGTGCTTTATGCTCACTCCAAACCATCGCAGCCTTTTTCTATGCGGGTGGATAAAACAAGGTCAATAATGTTAAAGTGGATCTCACAAATAATAAAATTCAATGATATTTTTTGTGTGTGTTGGTTTTAATTGTACTCAGGTGAATACGAGAGCGAATATGAGAGCGAAGTTAGAACGTACTCTCTCTTCACGTAGTCTCTTGCGTTCTTCTTCTTTTTCCAATTCTTCTTGACTTTTCTCATCTTTCATTTCAGCCACGGGAGCCTGGGGAGTTTCTGGCACAGGCGAGGCTGGTTTTGGCATCGGAGCTGGTTGTTGAATTGCTGGGACTACATAGAAAGAACAGGCAACCATTGTCAATAAAAGCAGAGGAAACGGACTCAAAACTCAATCATACTCAACCGATCAATGTTGCGAGTTGTACTTCTGATAAAAAGTGTTTGAAACCTAAAATCGTTTTAGCATTCCTCTCGAATTACTTTGTTTTAGATTTATTTTGTAATTTACACAATTAGCAACCTTTTTAAATGTATCTGGTGGTTGAGAAACACAAAATAACAGTTAAATATTGTTAACTTAAATACAATTATCATTGATGCTGTAAAATTGACGCCATACTTATACAGCAATATAAGCAAAACTTACTGAACTTCAGACATCATTTTCTCTTCGGCATGCCATCTAAAATCTCCTGATTTTAGCATTACTTTACAAATATAGCACTAAACATACTTTTTAAGCTGTTTCAATTTGAGCTGCTCTAAAAGGTGAAGGTTGACATTGCTAAGATTCCAAGGGCTTCACCCTTTGGATCTTTTGCCCCTCGGTCGGCAAAAATTGTGAAAAAACCAACCTGCACTGGGGACGGTTGTAGGAAGGCCAGGCATGGCCGCCTGGAAGGCACTGGCCATTGCTGCTTGCATTACATGAGGGTTGAACATTGGCATGCCCGGTATTGGGGGAAAGCCGGCTCCTTGAGGTAACCCTGGAAAACCAGGCATCCCCGGTGGCATAAATCCTGCCGGTGGCATTGCACTCATATTCGGTGGCATCTAGAAAGAGATGACAAGACTCGCTTTTACAACACTGGAGGTTGAAAGTCATGCATAGGAAGCGTGGCAGATTGCATTAACATGTGGAAGCAGGGTTTGAGATTTGCAATATCCTAGTATCCTAATGATACCAGTTTCAAATTTTGCATACATTTAGTGATGTTTTGAGATCATGTCCTAACTTATCCATGTCCTAACTTACTAATATCCTAACTTATCCATGTCCTAACTTACTAATATCCTAACTTATCGATGTCCTAACTTACTAATATCCTAATTTATCCATGTCCTAACTTACTAATATCCTAACTTATCCATGTCCTAACTTACTAATATCCTAACTTATCGATGTCCTAACTTACTGATGTCCTAACTTATCCATGCTTACCATCATGCCAGGGATCATGGGGGGCATGGGTGGTGGGGGAAATCCTGATGGATTGGATGTTGGAGGAAGACCTGAAGACTAAATAAAACATCAATAATAAGTTGAAATAACTAAAATTGATAAAGTGTAGTGGTTCCGGTTTCATATTGTGAAGAATTAGGGTAGGAAATACATTTTTTTAAAAATATGTTTTCATGGTTTTGGCGATTTTTTGCTGGGCAACTTGCAGTAGAGTCCCAACATCAATATTAACTAGAGTTGTGTATTTCCTATGGACAAATTTAGGCCATTTTGCACACTGTACGAGTAGCCTGCAACCACCGGGAGAAAATAGGGTTGCACGGTCAATCACGTCTGAAAAAATAATATGGTCGGCAGAAAAAAATAGGGTCGGTCGGGAACCGGAAAACAGGTATTTTTTTAGGCCTTAGGTCCTTGCATCAACAAATAGCAAGGTCTTTAATTGCTAGGACTTTAGATTTTGGGGAGTGTTTCTAGGTTTGCTAGCCAGTGCACTAACAAAACGCAGTCACTCCTGCATAAACATTCAAAATAGAATGCTTGATTTAAACATTACAGGGAGAGGGGGGCACAGGCTAGGAACAAGGTATTCTACAGTAGCAAGGCTTAAAATATAGGCACAGAATTAGGGTACACAGAAGGTCGACTCGAGTAACAGCTGCCACACCATGATTCATCATCAAAATGCTGACGCCAAGGTCCTAGCCAGTGCATGTTTGAGAGGCATCCCCCCCTGGACGTCTGCCATTTTGAATATTATCAGGGGGGTGAATGCCTCTCAAACACGCACTGGCTAGGACCATGGTGTCAGGCTGTCAGCATTTGAAGACAAATTACGGGTTACGCCAAAATCATAGGAAAACCAAGAAGTCAGCTTTCTGTGTACCCTATTCTGTGACATAGGCATACAGACGTACAATTGACTATTGTATGCCGAAATTAGCTTCAGACAAGCACAATCGCGCTGCGCAGACTTCCTACAGCAGAACTGGATTGTTAACTCCTTTCTGTTTGCCTTAAAATCCTTCAGACAATGAACAAACATTTGCCTCTAACCCTGAAATATGCGTATATTTATATATCCATATATTTATACTAAACTATAAAACATCAAACAGCAAAATGAATAGCTGCATTCCAAATTTATCCTCATACCATAGTATATAAAGGCTAATAGATGTGAACACAATTGTCTGCAACAGTTAAATGAACTCGCGGCACCAAAACCTAAAACAAAAACATATAAAAGACCGTGTAAATAAAGGACTGAAGTTTTATTATAAAAAAAGAAAGTAATATTTATCACTACAATTTATGCAACTAAACAAGGCCCTTCTCGCACTAAAAAAATGACAAAATTACCTCTGCCTTTAAAAGAAAGCAAGAATAGTATTTCTTGACAAATTTGTACAGTTCCAGAGGCTTTAAAGTTAAGTTTATTTCCACGTGCAAGAAGTTATATTTTGCACTAAAGAACGGCCATCTTGAAAACCGCGCAACTGAAGGACTGGGACGAGGAATAAATATTTTGAACCGAGGCACATGCCCGA